AAATTTTTTTTATACCTCAAAACATGTATAATAAAGCCTCAAATTTCATTTTCCATGATCCATTGAATAGTTTCCAAGAAAAAAATTCCCAAAAAAACGTTCATTTTTCAGTGCGCCTGGGTAGTATAACCCCTTAAATACTAAATTAAGAAAATATTTTAATAAAATTGTAATTTTCGCTTGAAATACCACAATGCAATGAAAACACGAGACTTAATCATTATTATGCAATAAAAACCTTGCGAAGTTCCACTGAATTTTCCACGAGAAAACTCGTCAACATCGCAACTGATCGATAGGTCAGAGCCTCTATCACATAGTCCGCTTCTCGGACGAAACTTCCAGCCGGTTGCAGAGCCATTGTGGAGTCCATCGGACCTAGTTCGCCAAGACATTTCGTGGCCTCCATCGACACGCGTGGATTAGGCGATTCTGTTAGTCTAATGAGTCTGAGGAGTGAATTTTAAAAATATTATGTGATAAAATAAAAAATATAGAAAATAAGAGACACCCAAAGGAAAGAAATTAAATAATAATATTATTATAAACATTATTATTATATATATATTATATAATATATAATAATGTTAATATTAACGTATATGTAATATTAATTTGAATAAAATGCATGTTTACTTGAATATCAACCGATGCAGGATGTTAGCACCATCCTCAGGATACGGACTCTGCAACTTTTGGTGTAGTTTTCGCAACTCACTTTTCTTCGTCGATAACTGCTGCGTAAAATTCGCAAGATCTTCCAGCGTGCACTCGACGTTTTCCTCACCCATGGCGTCCAGGAAACGTTCCAGCTCGTCTTCAAGGCACAGCGCAGATCCATCGTCCAATCTGATGGTGTTATGAGTTTCTCTTACATCCTGAAAGATCTCGTGATTCGGAAACGAGCCGAGTTTTGCGATGGCCTCTCGTAGTACGTTTCTTTGCTCCACCACGAGGAATTTAAGTAGACTCGCAGCCATCTCGCTGATGCTGCTATTTTTCGATTGCGCCAGGCCGATCAGATTTGCCACGATAAACCGGAGAACGTCTTGGACCTCCGTGGCTCTCGCGGGTAGCGCTTGTCTCAGGAACAGGTCCAGGAACTTACAGCATGCCGCGACGAGCGTCTCGTCGCCATCACCGCCATTCCTGGTGAGATGCAACAAGCTGTAGCACACATCCCGGATCAGGAACGCGGCCATTTCATTGAAAACGGACTTCGAGAGGTCGTGCGTTAGCCGCAAGCAGAAGTACGCGTACTGATGCAGTCGCTTGAGCTTACCCTCGCGGGAGCGCGACAAATGTACGGCGCTTGCGAGCCGCAACAGTGTCTTTTGCAGCGTCGCCGGTTGTTGTTCTACCAGCATATGTGTGTTCAGGGAATAACTCGATTCTAGATAATCAAAGCACAGATCCAGCACAGCTCGTGAGAAATGCGGTGGATCCGTCGCCGGGAAGTACGTAAATGAGATCGAGAGAATCTTCTTGAAATCATCTTCATCGTGTAGCCGCCGTATTAGTTCTACAAGAATGTCCTGTAAGCGAGAACGGAATAGCTGACTGAATTTTTTCGTGTTTGCGAACTCGTCCGTGTTATTTATCAACTTGCGCATTGTGTCAGTATCGAATACAACTGCACGCGATATCAGCCACACGAAGCAGGATGGGAAGACATCCTCGAAGACTTTATTGAAGTCCACATCGGTATTCACGCAAAAGGACACGGTCTCTTCGATGTCCGAAGTGCGCAGTAGAACCGGGACAATGCAGTTGATGTTTTTTCTAAAGAATTCGTCGATAGTCTCGCATCCTATTGATAATATATATGATAATAATAAATTTGATTCAATTTATAGTGCTTATATTAAATATCAATTTATGTTATATACTGTAAATATCATTTTTTATATTTTATAAAACTGTAATGAACAATTTTTTTTTTCATTATCTTTACTTGTATCGTTAGTGGATGTCAGATGCCACAAAAAATTTTGTTTTTCATAATATTATTATTTATTACTAAGTTGGTATAAATAACTGAATTTTTTATTTTAAAACCACTATTGTACTAATATTGCATCAAATTGCATCAAATCAACAAATTCTTACTCATAAGCATCCATGGAAAATTCTGCAATTGACAATGCGCGTCTTCGATCCAAGAAGTCAGCAGATAATTCAAGTTATCTTCTATGAGCGACACGTATGTCGTCGTGTGATGCGCCGCCGCTAAGAGAACCTTCCGCACCGTCTGCACATTCACTTGCTTTTCCGTCGTTAGTCGCAACATCGCACACAGGGCGCGACCCTGAAGGACTCCACTGGCGCATGCCACGGAGGCCAGCGCGATTAATGCGGTGACTGTTCTGGTCTCCTTCTCATCTTGCAATTGACTTTCTCTCAAACTGTTGCTATTCCACAAAAATGAAAAAAAAAAAAAAAAATTACAAGTGCTACTCGTTGCACATTATTATGTACTCTTTTGAATTATGCGCAATGTTAAAAATTGCCCTGATAAAAATTTGTCAAGTATTTTTCATATAATTTTTCAAAATTTTATGTCAACTTCAAAATTTCTGAATAAGTTTATAACTTTTTAGAAAATTTCTCAGATTTTTTTTATACAAATTGGAATACTTTTCAGAAGTACCAAGAAAGTCTACAGCATTTCAAGAATTTTTCTTAGATTTCTCAATATTTCTGCGAGTAATAATTCGTATAAAAATTCTAAGATAAATTTTCAGCAGGTTTTTTCAGCAGGATGCTATAAAAAGAATAAATATTGGATGTTTTTATAAAAAGTTTCTATAAAAAACAGTTTATAATATTGCTATCTAATTTATTTTAATATGATATTTCCTAAATATTTCTATCTCTCTAGACTCTATTATAATGTTCATACTTCTGCAAGTTGGAATTCGACTGCTCCGCCTCATCGAGCAGCTCGAACACTGTTTCCTCCACCTTCACAAAGATGCGTTCCTTCCATTTATGAGCGACATTTCTGAAGGATAGGATCTCTTGCAGACATTGCACTGCTTGTGACCGAAGCACAAAGAGTGTATCACCAATGTAACCGAGGATGCTGTCCAGTAGCGTCAAAACGTCGTCATCATCGGAAATGTAAACGCTACTCCAGGAGAAATTCGGATCAATCCGTACGAAATTGCATACGCACTTCATATAGCTCGTATGCACGAGAACGCTACAGTTTCGATTACAAATGCGCTTATGAAGCTGTTCGAGCGCGTGGAGGAACGTTTTGGGCGAATAACCATATTTAATCGCGTACTCGAAGAAGTATGGTAGCAGATTTAATAGCCGTCGCAACGATTCCTCATCTTTGCAACCTTTCTGGCATACTTCCAGCAGAAATTCCAACGGTGTATCCGCGCACTCGCGCTGGATCTCGTCATGGTCGCGTGCAATGAGCGATTCGAGGATCAGCAGTGACATGCTGGAATCCACGTAGCTCGTGAAGTCCTGTTGCATAGTCAGCAAGTTATGCATCATCTTTTTCTGCAACGTGGACTTGCTGTGATTTGCGTCGATGTGTAAAGCGCAGAAGGATGATAAGGCCTCTATGGTCTGCAGACGAATCACGCCCTCGCGCGGATGGCTTGGCTTTGGGTCTGATGTCTCCAGATACATGCTAGCGTTCCGCTTGCGTCTTCCCTGAAACAATGACATGTTACAATCGTTCATTAAAAACAATTTCTTCGTTACACAAGAACAAGTTAATTTCCTCATTTACCTGATAAGTGTTAGAATCTTCATTACAATCGTAATTATAATTGTCGTTTTGATTCAATAGCTCGAATATGTTTTTTATCATGTCCATTGTAGATGCAGAGACAATTATTTTAGCAATTTCCGTATCGTAGGTTGCTCCATAAAATATCCTCAATGCTCTGGTTACGTTCAGTAGGAACATATTTTTGCACCTGCGAGGAAACATTTAATGTAACCAAGATATTGAACACATTTGTAAGAAATCAGAATAGTAAAAAAAAAAAACAATAAAAGCTTAAGTGCAGTTCTGCCAGTATAGCATAATAATTACAAAATTTGGAAGTACAAAAGCATTGAATGATTCCTTAATAGTATCTAAAAAGAGAAAAAATAAAAAACTTCTTTCGCTTTATTAAAACTCATACCTATTCCAGTCAATTTTCGTCAGAACTTTGTAGCTGTCATTCAATTGTTTCTCCATTGCATCGATCAGTGGGCAGTAGCCATCAATATCCTCCGTCGTGAAAATATTCTGTTGCTTCAGAATAGATAATAATCTTGCCAGGAACGTCAGCTTCATCAGTACAACATAGATTTCACGTACATTTCTATTCTCGTCATTGGATCCATCCTCTTGAATAATCTTATGCATTTGCTTCATCAGGAAGTTAAATACTTCCTGTATGTAGGAGACAGGATTTCCAGTGTCGGGCATCATCCCGGAATCTTGTTCGACAAGCTTGCTCTGCGAATTCACTGACAACGCTATCTTGAATGTCAAGGACGCATGACAGAGTTGCGGAAGCTCTGTTGAATGGATGTCTTGATGAGGCACAAAAGCGATCACGCGCGCTTTCTCGTGGTTCTGCAAGGATTTCTGCTCAGTCTTAATATTTTGTTTGTAACGAGATTTCAGAACGAGGTTTACTGACAATGCGCAGATGTCCTCGACAGTCTCGATGGACAATCGCGTTGCCAGTTTCTGCCATGTATGGTCTGGAATGTTCAGCAGCCACTCTAGAAGCCGCGTCCTATCACAGATTGGCGCCATCATCATTGAGGGCGACAAATCCAGCACCGATGTGGTCGCGTCCACCGGTAGAGAGACACGCTCGCACAGCCGTCGCAGTGTATGTACGCTATTCGGCGACCAGCGAATCGCCTTGGTCAGGTACAATCTGAGGAGAGCGTTTGCGTTTGGCAGTCTATTGTATCTTACGAAACAGCGAATCAATGAATGGCCCGATTCCTCGTTTTGGTTCACTCCTAGAGATCTGCAAGGATAATCTTGTTGCAATTATAAAATTTATTAATTATAAAATGCAACAATATTAATGTAAACATTGAAATTAAATGTTACATGCCTAAAAAATATTTATAGACAATAGACAATTTTTTAAGTTTGTTTTAGTAAAAAGTAAAAACTAAGTTTTTTAACAGGAAAATTATGTAATGTTTTAAACTAATTTATATAAATAAATTAATAATAAAATTTAAATTAGCATGCACCTAAGTAGCATATCCCAGATCTTGTTCCAGTGAATTGTGGCGTCTTGTATTTCCTCTCCATTAGATATCTCAATTTCCATGAGAACAGCAGCTAGATTGTATAAATTGTTCATGACAGACTCATCTCGAGACACAGCAAGTTCCGTTAAATATTGCAGCAAGGGCGCGAGATCTTGCGACCTCAAACACTGTGGATACTTCCTTAGTGTTTCTGTCAGAATTCTTAATAATGACCACACTTCCTCGGGGCTGCTGTTCGTTACCAGATCAACGATATTTTCAATTTCAATTCTGTTCGTTATTCGTCTGCGTTTGGTTGATTGAGAATAAGGGCCCTCAAGAGAGCTAGTGAAATTTACTGAGTCGTCTATTATCTGTTTTATGACTGCAAAAAAATATGTAACATTTGTTAAATTGATAACTTATTCTTTTACAACTAAATCATACAATTATTTATACAATTAAATCAAATCTTTTATAAATACTTAACGAAAGATATTAAAACAGTGATGATAAAATATGATTGTTAACAATCAATAATCTCGAGAATGTACATACTGTTAGAGAATTATTAATTATTCAGAATTTACATATGTTATATTCTTTGGAAAGAATTCAACATAATGGCGTTTATATATATATAAAGTAAAAGAATTTTTTAATTTATAGAATAAAATTGCTGCTAAAAAGAAAGCCATTTATCTAATTGATAAAATAATTGATATAGATTGATAATACATCGATATTTTTTAAATATTATTTAAAGTGTATGTTAAAGATATTTGTGTTAAAAAATGGCACCTTCACTAGCAAATTGGATGAAACTGCGCCACTGCACGTCCAATTTGCAATTCTCCTGAACAAGCAGATACATGTTACGTAGCAATTTCTTCCATTCGTTCCAATCAAATGCAAAAGCGCCATCATCATGCCTCGAGATACCCTCTGGATGATGAATCTGTAGGAAGATCAACAGCAGCCTATACTTTTCCTCAGAGCCGTTCAAACTTAAGATATTCATCAATGTGCTCTCACTAAATTTGCAGAGCGCGATTCTGGATTCTGTAATGATTTGCCTGCATACACTGCTACTCAATTTGTAAAAAGACTCCGTCAACTGTTCATTGTTTGCTTTTACATCTTTTAAAACGTCATTTTCTAAAACGTGAAATAAATTTACTTAGCATTAGTTCTAATGTAAATAACAACTGTGCATATTTGTTAATAAATATAAAAATAAAATATTTAAAATATTTTATAAAATGTGAACATAAAATAGTTAATGGAATAGTTACCCAGAAACAATAACAAATTTTTCACGTAAAAAAATAAATTCGTATGTAAGAAAGAATAATCAACAATCATCTGCAACGCGTCTAACACAATGTGACTTTGGAGATGTGCCTTTTTGTACAGCTTGATGCAAACTTTCAATAGTTCCCTCCATTGCTCTGGTATAATATTCCTGTGATATATATTTTTGGACAATATGTATTTTACTAATATCCCTAGATAAGTATCCTGATAATGCACATAGACCTTAGAATCTAATATTTGCAATATTCGAGAGACTATATCACTGCTTTTCAAAAAGTCAGCTGACTTTTCGCTGGCTCGGCGAATTGTGTCCTTCATCAAACCACAGTTAGATTGCCTTTCACTGCTCTTAGCATTTGTCTCTTTACTAGGCTTTTCTGCTTCCTATTATTATTCAAATAGCATCAAAAATAAATGAAATTATAACATACAAAATATTAGAAGAACTGTTTTCTATGTAGATTTCAATATAATTCTGCTTACATCAGTAATTATTTTGTGAACTGTGGATATAATACAGTACCAGTTGGCCTTTCCTGAAGCTTTGCTCTCGGTATTCTGGCATATCTCTATAAGAGTGTCGTCATTTTTATATAAATCCTCTAGTTCAGATACGAATTTCTGAAAGTTAACAGGCCTTCGTCACACAAGAAATAATGGAAATAAAAGGATTGTACATTAATATAGTTGAATATATTTTTAGAACAGATGCTTTTAACTAAGAATCTGTTTTCTATGGCTGAACTAGCGTACATTTTTGGAACTTAAAGTGAAATGGATATTTGCTTGATTTGGCAAATGCGAGAGTTCTAGTACAGTCTAGTGCAGAAATAAAAAACAGACCTTAGATTCTTTTACCAATGAAACTTTGTAAATAAAGTTAATTGACTTGAAACACCCTTACATACGTCAAAATCAAGTTTGTTAAGACTACTTTGTAGATTAACCTGCGAATAAGACTATTTCTATTTATTTTACACCGATCACCAAAACAAAAATTGAATGATTTTGAATTTAATTTCTCCGGTTAAACACAGGACGAATCAAATTCCTGACATAAATAACAATGATTAATAGCGGCGATTATGGTTACCTTTCTATCAGTCACTTTCGAGCTATCGGCTAGCTTCAGAATACCGGAAATTCTGTCCGATATTCGCGACATATTCGCAATTCTACCGGTACTCTGATAAGCATCGACGCATTAGCTGTAAAAGAGATTTAAAAAAAATCACATCAGATTCTGATAACCGTTCGCGAAACATTGAACTACAACGAAAGTAACGCAGATGTTTGATCCTCCCGCGAAATACAACAAAGTGCCAATTGCAACGTGCCATTCGGGTCATTCCATACTTCATCATAGATTATAGACGCAATCTAGATAGACGAATGCATGAATGCCTTTGCTGTAAAATTAAAGGTGCATTTACATGCAAGCGTCAACGAGGCAATTTTTACAGCATAAAAAATATTTTTGCTCGTATCGCCCAGCTGATTGGTTGCTGCTTCCGCTGCCTGACGCTTGACGTTTGCATGTGAATACACCTTAAGTCCGGATCTACAATAGGTGTTTTAAGCCGTAAGAAATTGACCAATTACAGTCGAATCCGAGGAGAACAATCGACTGTGATTCGTCCATTTTTTATGGCTTAAGGTTTAAAACACCTATTGTAGATCCGGAGTAACCGTTAACTTATGCCGGTGCCGGTAAAGTTCAACCATAGGATTTCAATACTTTCGTTCATACCACCGACGAGATTCCGACGAGATACTATTAAAGACCGTCAATCCTGGGCAAATTTTCGGCGGTATAAAAAGGGCCCCAAGGACCCGGAGGTAATCGAAGAACGCTGACATTATCGACAATTGATAAATTTGCTATTATTAACATAAATGTTTGACTAATACATTATTAAATTCATGATATTTTATTACATAAATGCTCTATAAATAAATATGCATATTTGTAAAGCTATAGTATCCTATATATATATATTGCCGAAAAATTACAATTTTTTTCTCTGCAATTATTATCTCTATTGATAATCGAACTTTGACGATAACACTGAAATCACAATTTTAAAGAAAAATCGAGTATTATTGAGTTTGAAATGCACGTACACCGATAAACACGTCTACTAAACTAATAAATCATAAAATTAGTATTATACAATATTATTAGTTTTTTTACTCTTAATCACTTCAATATTAACAAGGACGCGAATTCCTATAAGGATGTCGGTCTTTAATAATATCTCGTCACTGTTCATACTAATTCGGCAAGTTAATGAACGAAAATATTGAAATCCTATGGTTGAACTTTACCGGCACTGGCATAAGTTAACGGTTACGGCCATTATAAATCAGGCTTTATGCCGTAAATTTTGTTGTTCTGGTTTATAATGATTTGCTGCATGCCGTAAACCTGCATATCGTACAAATATGGAAATCTTTCCACTAAGGTTATTAATTTAATATCTCTATTAACTATTTCGTTTATTTCCATCTTAGCTCGTATCAAAACTGTACAGAAATGATATAGAATCAGTCACAGTGGTCACACAAGTGCAGAGAGACTTGTAAATTTTGACTAACCTTTACATGATCACTTGCCGCTAAAGATAAAGTTGAGTTAACTTTACGGATACAGCATAAGTTACCAGCATCCGGCAAGTTAGTATGAACGAAAGCATTGAAAT